CTTTACAAAATTCAAAGAGGAGCAATAAATACTATTTAAGGGAAATAAAAATTGATATATTTATTAATTTTATTAGAAATACTTTTGATATCTCACTTCTCCTGCCTTTGATCCCACGTCTTCTTCTTCTTGAGACTAAATAGATTAGACTGCTAATGAGACACCTCAGAATGTAAAATTACCTGCAAAATTGTCCTTCTCCCTGGGAGCTTTCCAAGCCCAGGCTCAGAGTTACCATTACCATAAGCTGCAGAGCAACTCCTGAGTTTGGGATTTGCACTCTCAGGAGATGCACACAGTGATGCTGTTATCTGAGGGAGTGGAAATCAAAGTGCACGAGGTCAATTTTTATCTGTCTGAAGAGACATCTGCTTTTAGCACTGTTTTTCAGGGAAATACAGGCTCTCAGTAAGCTAAGGCCTGAGGTTTCCTCTCCAGTTTGATGCAGAAACATTTCCATTCAGTTCTCTGAGAAATGCACTGTTACAGAGTGTACCTGCTATGCGGCAGCGTGATTCACACATGCTTCTGATGGTTTAAAAAAAAATTATTACTTTAAAATGATGCCTTGGGTTTAATGCAGGCACTGAAAAAAGAGTGAGAGACAGATTCACACACTCTTTTACTGATTTATAAAGTGTTATTTACAAATTCTCAAGCCACTAAGATGATCCCACCCTTTCAGGATGCCAGCTGATGTTTGCAGGACTGCCAAATAGATGGGGGAAAAAAAAAAAAAAAAAAAGTATAAACTCCTGGGTGTTGTGATGCTCTATTTTACAGAGTCACTGCTTTAGAAATGAGGTGACAACAAACTGGCTTCAGTTTTGACTACCCTATTTCATAAAAAGAATAAAAGGAAGGAGAAAAGTCCCAGAGAGAGGCAGCAAAACCAACTAGAGAAAAATAAATGTCTGGAAGAAGACAGAGTGAACAGATGGGAATTCCTCTATCTATACTGGAGAAAAATAACACAGGAAATGATAAAAAAACCCCAAACATATCAAATAATGAATGGCAAATGGAAAAGTAAAGCCAAAACTTCTCTGAATATGTTTGTATAGAGGTTATACTGCTGAGTGCGTATTACAGGTATTCCTCTGTCTCAATTTACAGAAGAGAGAAACACTGTTGTGGTCAAAAGTGAAGCAGATGCTGGCCTTGAGCAGACTGCAGCAGCCCATGCTTCAGGTTCCAGAGATGCCAGAAGAAACACCAGCATGTCAGCCACAGCAATGGTCATCCAAAGTCTATTTACTGAACCATTTTTTAAAACTTTGGGGTTCTTTCCTTTTCCTTTAACTCTTTTTGGCACTGCTCAATATCTGAGTGACATCCTGGATGAGATGGGCCAACCTGGAGCAACAGTTCTGCACGTTCTGTGTTGACATTGCTATTAGTCTCAAATATTATTTCTGCAACTTTTTCCAAACCCTGTCAAGCACACTTGGGTTTCTGTGCTCAAAGTTTGAGACAAATGCAGGTTTCCACAGACCATTCTGATATCCAGCTTGCAAAGCTGTAAGTCCACAATGAGACAATCTCCACCTAGCCAATGTGTCATGAAGAGGCCCCTGCAGCCAAAGCAACCTCCAGAATCAACCAAACCCAAGTCATAAACCCAACCATACATTCGTACACAAGAGCAAAAGCATGCCGAGTCCCCCAGGCTATGGGCTGAAAGCTGGACCAGCCGGCAAGAATCTGCACTCAGCTCAGTCTTTCCAGTGTGTGCAAAACCAAGCAACTGCAGGGTGCCAGACAAACATAGAAAGCAAGGCAAAGAATCAGACTGGAGGGAAAAGTAAGAACGCATGGCTGAGGGTCCATCACATTAAAATACACATTAAGCTAAATTAGCTTCAGTTGGGGGAAGTTAAGGTGGGGGGAACCCAAACTGCATTTTTCTTGCACAAATTAGAGCTTACCCATGGTGGTAAAACTCAGAGAAGGAGGAAGATGCGGCTGGCCTGCCCCTGCCTCAGCCCCTGCAGTCCAGTGCTAAGCCCTTCTTTCTCCCTGTCACGCTTGACAAACACCTGTTACTTGTTCCTCTCATTTTGACATAGCTCCATGTATAAATAGCCAGCTTTAACTGGAGCATGATATACCTGCAGCATCAGTTTGAAAGGCTTTAAGAATAAAAGCACAGCCTTAAAAATATGTGTTACTATTTGCACTAATGTGGGTGACTGGTGTAAATCAGCTGGAGTGAAACATGAAGGCCAGTTCCAAATCAGAGCCCCCTAAAAATCCTGGGATGCCTGGATCAAAGTTCCCAACTGAGAATTTTCTGCAGTAACACATTCAGAAAGCGCAGCACTGAAGAGGCATCTTCTGAGTAACACAATCACCCAGATAACTGAAGAGCTATCAAAACAACAGCTTCAACCCCCTCCCCCTGCCCATGTGGTATGGTACTAAGTACTGGAAACAAACTTTTTCCCAAGGAGGGCTCTTTTAATCCCAGGAGACGTTTTGGTTGATACCTTCAAGTGATTGATGACTCTGGCAGCACTGGTTTCTTTAACATCCAAGCTGAGACACCCAAAATGGAGTTGCTTTTCTGTTGGCAGAGTGTGCTTCCCACCACAGCCACCACCCCCCATCACCCCCCCAGAGGGCTAATCGTTTTTGGAATTGCACACCACCATCACCCAAGGTGGTTGCTCTGAAGGGAAATTGCTGTAAGAACTCATTAATGGAACAGGAAGCCATTATTTCTTATTGAGTATACAGTGTCCTTTAGGAACAGCACAGGGCTGGGAAACAAGACACAGGTGAGATCATGTGCTGGCTTTTTCCTCTCAGATAAGTGTGTGAAAACTGTAGTAAACAATGCATGCTCTGTATCAGTCTGCTGAACACCGGTATCACTGGCTTAACACACCCTAAACCTGTGACAGACAGCATGAACTACTGAATTCCTTAAGTGACCTTGGAAAGGAATAGCTCATATATCAAGTGGCAGCCCTACATCCAAGCCTCCTGATAGCGAGGTGAGCAGCAGAGCTTTTTTAAGCACATCATTCTTTCGCATTGGGGTGAAGCAAGGTGGTGGAGGTATACTGACTTCTCTGCTATCTCGGAAGCACGATTACTTTTCTTGAGTTACGTTTGCCCTACATCATGGTCCCACCAGAGCTGACATACTGCCTCCTTCTCCGCTTTCCTCATTGGTGGGCTCTGCAAGATATTTGCTGTCACAGGGCTGGACATGCAATTACTGCTCCACTACAGCTCATGTCTGCAGTGGGAGGAGGTCTGGGTGGAGGGCCTGTGGGCAGAGACCCTTTACCTGTGCATTTGCCAGCTGTTACATCCATGTTTCATTGAAGACCAGTGCGGTGATGAGTAGATTCCCTACATGGACCAAGGATGGAAAGTAAAAAAAAAAAATTACATTTCTTATGGGAACAGCCTAGCTAAGGAAAGAATCCCCCTCTTCCTCCCTCCCTCCTGCAAAAAACAGACTAGAGGCAATATATAGCCTTGGTCTTGTCTAGCCCATCACATTTCTGATGCATAAAGCATCCTCAAAACGTCCTCAGATAAGACATTCTTCCTACCTCATGCTATTTAAGTTAACAAATCAACAAACATAAACCAATACCGGATTTAACCAGGAGTACTGATTCAGCATTTAGCAGGGGGACTACAGGCGTAACACAGCTGGGACACAGCTAATGCCACCGCTTCCAGACAGGTGCCCAAAATGGTGGGTGCAGAGGCAATACTGGGGACTCAGAGCCTGGTGCAAGCTGACCTCACGTACCCAAGGCCTTCTGCTTCAAGGTGCATTTCTTTGAGCAGACACAGTGCCCTGGGGGCTGGCAAGGGAGGCGAAACAGAAGGAGCAATGGGGCCACCAGATAAAAGAACTCCAACTCAGCTATGGGCTATGGATATGCAGGGATTTTGTTAGCTCATTAATTTTCTTTTATTCTGCTTTGCTGCAAAAGCCATGTAAACATCCAATCCAAGCAGGCACCCTTGCGAAGCAGCATTCGTTACCTTAAAAACAGCGGAAGGATAAAAGAGAACTTTTGAAGCTTCTATTTCTTTTCTTTCCCTCTTCCACTAAGAACTTTTTTCTAAAGCAGGAAAATGCATCTTTTCATTTTTAAGAAAGATTATTTGGAATGTGAATTTAAATATGGAGAGCTAATCTAGATTTGCATGAAGGCACCCCAGAGCATCATCTAATTGTAAAAACTAAGAATGGAAGAGCGATCTAAATCCATCCTGCTGCTGATGCAGAATAGCTCCCAACAGGATATTTACAAGTTTTTAACGAGTTGGCCTTGTGCCTCAAGTGCACCAGAGACATACTTTTAGGCGAATAAAACATCCCTTGTCATGGCTTAATGCTGCAAGAATTAATCTATCACTAATTATTTCCTCTTTTAAAGCCCTGCTCTTTGGATAGCTGTGACATAATTCTTAAAAATCACACTAGTTAAAAAGCAGAAGTACACTGTCCACTCCAGCTCCCTGGCCACAAAGGCCAGCTATTCAAATGTTTTCCTTTTCCCAGTTTAATTTCAGCTCTTGCAGTTGATGAGAGGCTGAAAACAGTGAGCATGGGAGTGCTGGGGGGAACAACTAGAGTCCTCTCGCTGCTCCTTCTTGGGCACCCTCCGACCAAGGGTCTGCTGGAGGCTTGGAAGAGCTTTTCCTTCGTGGTGGTGCCATTCAGGTTAGAAAAGGGTGCTCCTCTTTGGGCTTAATCACAGCAAGAAGTCTAAATTCTGACAAAGCAAGGCCTGACAAAGTAAAGATGGAGTTTTGACTTAACTGAAGCCTAAGGAAATATGATTTCACTTTAAGTCTGTCTTTGTCTCACGTACACACAATCCCAATGTAAGTGATTTCATCTTTCATAGTTGAAGGTCAGCCATTTCAACGCTGTATTTTTTCCAGAACGAGCCACAGTTTCTGCTCTCCTGGCAGATCTGTACAATCGACATCCTAAATAAATCACAAGAGCAAGGCTATTTGAAGTTATTGGATGCTTTTATTTTAATGTAGCACCCAGTTCCATATCACATACATTTTCCAAAATTAGATGGGCATAGTATAGAACACTATACATTTTGCAGCTTACCACGTGGACAGTCTGCAGCTGTGAAAACAAATTGCTTAAATCTGGCTATCTACTTTATAAGTTAAAATTCAAATATATAATAGCCTCAGGGTATTTTTTTTAGATTAACAAAGATAATGCTTGCAATATGATTTTTTATATCAAAAAATCAGTAACAGAGTAAAACATAATGCATATGTTCATAGCACATTATCATGAAAATAACTGAGAAAGCTTCAAAATACATCATCTCTTATCAAAGGTACTACATCACTTAGATTATTTTTTTCCTGAAAAAATACTTGTACTCTTTAGTCAAGAAAATAGGTGACTTTCTGAGGGCTTCTTTTATAACCCCGTGTATTTTCTTGTCAAGGACCACGTGTGCTGAAGGCCGAATGGCTCATGGTGCTGGAAAATGGACACCCCTCACTCCCTGGCTAGCAACTTTTACAGTCTCTCTTTGTCCTGATCTGGAAGCTCAGATGGGAGGAAAGCAACTTATACACCACCAAAAGGCAATTTGCACATCATGCCCATCCTAAATGCTTCCTGTGAAGTGTTCCAAACGAGCCCTCTGGGTTCATTTTACTGTGAAAGTTGTCATCACCCCATGCCAGTTAGCCCTGGCAGTGTTAAGTTGGGACCATCTGGACGACAGCCGAACAAGTTCCTCTCCCCAGTGTGGATACAGAATTCCCAGCAGCAAAACTACTGCCATGCACGTAAAAACAGGTTGGAGATAATCTTTTGAGTTAAAAAAGGATATTCACCAACTTACTAATAACAGGGCTGAATCCACTAATCACTGACATTTTTGCTACGTCACCAAAACTCTCTGGAAGAGAGAACTATCTAGAAAAAGGTGGCAATGTTTCCCCTGCATCCTAGTATAAAATTAAAAGAAGGACATTGATCATTAAGGATTGTTTGTTCACAGTTTGTTTAAAGGAATGCCTCAGAAATGGAATCCGTTTTCCTTGCTTCATTACCAGGTTGTTATTTATATTTAAAGGCTCAAAACTGGCTTGGTCTACAAAGGCAACCAGTCACTACACTTAGCTGGGCACTTTTCTTTTTTCACCACTGAACTACCACGTATTGAAACGAACATTTCATAGAAAGTTATTGGGCGATATGAACATTAACAGATATATAAAGAAATGTGTGATCAAAAAGAAGACATGAGTGCACACCTACACACACTGAGGAAGATCCTTATCTTCTCTGCCTAGTGTTGTCCTGTCGACAAAAATATTTAATTGTCCATACCAGAATAGCTGCAGGAAATTGAAGACTTAAAAAGGGGCACCAGGCTCATGGTCATCGCATGCTCTCAGATGCAAGGAAGCCAATGCTCCAGCTCCTGTTCCCAGTTATCCTCTCTTGCTGGCATGTTCTGCTCTGCATAAGTATCTACAAAAACCATTAAATGAGGAGGAGTGAGACCTCACACAGGGGAAGCTGCTGTCGCTCCTTGGTCAGGCAGATTCCAGTTGTTGTTCTGGGTAAGGCACGCCAGAAGCTTAAAGTAGATTGCTTTCCTGTAGCTCAAGAAAGTGCCCTGAACATTGAGCAAACAGCCTGTGAGGTCTCCCTTTCTGACCAGATGGTCTATCTTGGCTTGAGGAGAATCTCCCACCCAAAATTTCAGAAAGCAAAGGTTTCTGCAAGAAATTATGATTTTACTGCACCCACATCTTTCCAAAGGAAAAATATTTTTTTTGAGAAAATCTGTGATACTGGTTTTAGATGCGTTGACCAGCCAGGGTCTGTTAATAGTAGCCATGAGTGTGGCTACATGCAGCAATGGCTAGAAGTATTGTCTATAGCTTCATGATGCCTCCTCCTCTCCCTCTCAAAATGCTAACAGCCTCCCAAAACCAGACACATTTTTTTCATTTTGCATGGGCTATCATGAATGCTTAAGTACTGAGACATTACATTGTATGTGTAACACAACAGCATTTCTCCTTGAATATTTTGCTTTACTCTCTCTCTGTGAAGTAGTATATCATCATCATACCCAACACTTCATCAAACAGAATACAAATCAACCTACACTCCAGGCCTTGAAGCTGAGCGAGGCATTTGACTGCAACCCTGTAAATGCAGGGATGGTTAAATTTTTAATTTATTAAGTCCTGTGGTAGAGTAACAACTGAGTAAATATTTCATTGTTAGCTAACCAAGTACCCTCACTTCCAGTGAATGAAAAAAAGTCCTGTACATTAGAAGGAAGACATCTGAAAGAGACATATAAACCAGCCTTCTTCACTCTTCCTTTGAACAGCATCTATTCCATGAATAACCTAAGCAAAATAAATGGGGGATTATTCTAGAGGAAGCTCCTATCAAACATGAAAAAGTCCTCTACTGCCTTAAAAATACAATGTGCACACTTCTTTATAATCATTAAAAAGCTTTCCTTAAAAAAAAAAATCCATAAAAATATGCCATATTATTATTTCCTATCAAATACTAGGGGCTTATTAACTGATAATGTAAGAACTAAAAAGCAAACAAACAGTGAGTGCTTAACCTCATTAAAATCTCAGGAATGACTCAGTGTTATGAATGTATGAAATAAATGATGATAAATTCTGAACAGTACCACCACTAGTGAGAGGGCAGCATCTGTTTTGCAGCTTCCCGGAAAGTCTGCAGTTCTCGCATTTTGTCACTGACCAGGAATGACTGTCTGACCCCAGCTATGCAACAGTCACACAAAAGGACGACCCAAATCCAGCAAAACGGTTGTTGCTTGTTGACACAGTGATGTTTAGTTGAACTGGAACCAATGTGTTACAAAAATAGATTTTCAGTAACAATTCTGCAAACGTCTGTTTCCACCTTCAGACTTCTGGATCTATGTCACACATCCATATCCCTTTTAGAAAAATTAGGCTGCTTCCTCATCACTTCAGACACTCCCGCTGATGTCATTCTTATCTGCCAACAAAACTTTTGGCTGCTCTGATGTCCTCTGATACCACGCCACAGCCATTTCATGATACACCCTGAAGGGAGGCTACCCAGCTGCTTCAAACCTGCTTCTCCTTCCTCTCAGCCCCAGGGCCATCTTATAGCTACAGGGAGAAAGCATCACACCAACAACAGTAGAAACCTGTTACACCATTTCTGCAAGGCAAATACGTATGCTTAGATTAGTGAACAGGATATGAAATACGTGCAGTAGCACGTTTTGGATAACAGGTAGGTGACATTCCCTTGTAGCGAAGCACTTATATCTGTGGACGGAGGCTGACATTATGTCTGAAGTCACCCTATCTAAGAGAACTGGCCAAAGAAATAAAGTAACATTAGTTAGCCAGCTTCCATTGCAAGAACTGAGACTGAAGTCAATGACCACCTGCATCCATGGAAAAATCCCCACCGGATTCAGTTGGTTCAGACCCAGCTTAAGAATTAACCTTTGCTTCTTCATTTAGAAAATAAATGGGCATTAGCAGCTTCATCCAGTCAGTAGCATCTCCAGTGAGGTGCAAAGGAACCTTAACAAAAACCTGTTGTAGAAGGCAGTCATTTCCTTCACACATTTTACAAGCTCATATATAGCACTTTTGCTATCTTTCTTCTTTTGGAAACACAGTTCTTGTACACATACTTAAAACAAATCAGCAGCTATTAAGACAACAAAGCAGACTAATACAAATGTACATAGAACAGCTTTTACAAAAATGCCCTAACCTCTTGTTAGAAACACACGGTTGTTTGGTTTTTTTTTTAAAAAAAAAGAAAGAAGCAAGCTATAAACCAGGGATTTCAAACATGCTAAAAGTATGCAGAGGCACTGGCAGTTCAAGCAAGTGATCAAACACTGGTGATGGGAAACAGTTACAGCTCAAAACCCAGATTTTTTAAAATTTCGAAAATAATTAAATTTTAGTATTTTTTACTGTTCTCTCATGAGATTTGAACTTATAAAATACAAGTTCTCTAACATCAAAATACATCCGTGATTGCATAATAAACAGTACTAAGAAAATAATTATCTAACATGTGATTGCAGATAAAGACTTTATGTCTAAGGGAGTTTTATTCCTGTAGTACCTGAAAGCCAGAGGTACTCTACCATGATACAATCCTACAGGAATCAGTAACATCCAGAAGTCCATCTCAAAGGATGAATTTTAAATTTAAGCAAGAATTCAGGAATGCTGTACCTCAATGATCAGGGCAGGAGGTGCTGCCAGAAAGCATATAAATCAGGAATTTTTTACATAAATAAAATACTCTCAGGTTATTCATTTCAGTGATAAACTGCATTTACACATTAGGCTGGGAAAAAGGAGGAAAGAAGGCGGAGCATCCCCCCCCCCTCCACTCAGAAATATCCAACAGTCAGATATTTGTTTTCTGTACCGTCTTCATCTGCAAAGGCAAATGGACGAAGAAGGGTGAAGGGAGACCTGACAAGCCGGTCCTCCCCACCGCCACCACCTTGGCAGAAACCCTGCTCAGCCGCACTGCACTCCTCTCCCTGCAAGGCTGCTGGGATGCCTGCTCCACTCTTGCTGCTGCATGGCGGTGTGAGAAGTCACAAGACGGTGACAGGACGTAGCTGTTCCAGCTGCGTTTCCAAGGCAATTCGTTCCTTGTGAACCTCCTGCAGCAGGGAGAGATGCGCTGTAATTTTTGGGATGCTCACATGCACCACCCTGCTCTCACGAAGAGTAGCCAGGCAAACTGCTGGCATTGACAGGACACTCAGGGCTCTGCTGTTTAAGTAACTCTCCCTGCAGTCTCAAAACACCATACCAATGCCACAGGAACACCCTGTGCAGCTGCCTACTACTGCCTCCTTACAGCAGAGCAATATGGAGGCTCAATCACTTGCTCAGGCAATGGAGAGAAGCAGCCATCCACTGGCCAGGGGAATAGCTTGGGATGCAGCAAAGCTGGCTACAATTGGTCATTTTTACCAAAGAAAATTCGGTTATTTTGAAATCACATTTCCCTCAGAACTCTTTTTGAGAATTTTTCCTTCATACAAATCAACCTTTTTCTTTTGGAAATGAACGAGACTTAGCCTAAGATGACGCAAGCTTTGCAATCTAGCTCTTTGGTGACTGTGGCAGGAAGCTCAACAGTCTCAGTTGGAAACTAACTGTGAAGGCTTTGAGGATCAGCAATTTTTGGAAAGCCTCTCCTGGTCTCAAGGCTGTCCTTGCATTGAGGGGCACCTGGTTCTCGCTGACCTCCCACCAAAGGGCTCCCTGGCCAGTGTGAGAGCCAGGCTGACCTATAACTCCTCCAGGCTTTGGTACCCCTTTTCTCCAGGCTCAGAGCCCTGGCACAGGAGTGCACTTGAACACTCTGGGTGCAAGCTGTGCCTGAGGGGTACCCGTCAAGTCTTCTGGTCTCCATAAAAACAGCAAAGCCCTGCTCCATCAGAAAGCTGCCAGGCAGCAACACGACTTGAAGGACAAGTTCACTTTTCTGTCCTTGTGTGAACTTAGGCGAATGTCTGTCTTTCCATGCTTCCTTCACACTGCTGTAAAATACAGGTAGCAGCACTGGCCTGCTTTGGGAAGGTCAGGGAGTTTAAGCATGCTGAAGATAGTGCACGGAAGCAAGTAAGACCCGAGTCAAGGAATGATGGCACTGTGCTGTGAGTAAAGCATTCATCTCTGTGTTGATTTCAACTGCTGTCCTCTATTTTGCTAGGATTTCAGTACAGAGCATCCACCCTACATCTCTCTCAGGAGATCCTTGAGAAGCAAATAAGAAATTATGTTAAGCAAAGTTGAACATGCAATCAAACTTTCACCTTGGCTGAACAAAAAGTGCAACTGGGGGTTCACCTCCCCTTCCAGACAAGCGTGTTGATAATACGCAAGGAAGAAAAAGCTATGGCAGATGAAAAGTCTGTACTACCTCTGAACTAAGGCAATAGAAAAACTAGAACTGATATTTATAAAAAAGCAGCCCCTTGAGAACATGCTAAGACAAGTGAGCAGACATTAATAACCAGTGTTAGATGCTCACATAAAGCATGGTCTAGCCAGTCCACGTATACCAAATGCCTGACTCCAAGACACAGTTACGTAGCACAACTGATGAGAAGACAAGAAAGCTATGCTTGAGTTGCTCTCCTGCACTAGCTGACACCATCCATTATCAAACTTTTCAGAATGACAAAGTTCATCCTTTAGTCTTACTCTAACTGAAAGTGGAGCTGTAGGCCCACAGGTTATAGCTTTTCCCAGAAAGCCTCATCCTATTCCCACACACATTATAACTATTCCACTCCAGAAAGCAGGAAGTAACACAGTAGGTCTCATCTGAGAGGATGAACAAGATTCTCTGCTGGAGGTGACATGTAACTGACCACAGGGAGCTTTGTCACCAATTTTCAATGCATTCCTTACCTTCAGCTGCTGCTGGAGCTCACTGTTCAACCTGGCAAGCACAGCATTGGCTTCTTTGTTTTTTCGGATAGCGGTCTGAATAGCCCTTTTCTGCTTGGAAGACTGTCTGCCAGACAGATAAATACAAAACATTTCAATTAAGAGCCTCAACAGTGGCTGATGCCAGAAGACAAGCCATCCATTTTGCGTGCCTGTACTCCATACACACTGGACTACACTTCAAAGACAAGGTACAAACTACAGATTTAAGAGAAAAAATGTGACACCAAAATGAGATGGCTGAATCAGATTATTTGAAAGTAAAATGGCCACACTTGTTAACATGAATAACAGAAACATTTTAGTCTGTCTCAATTACTGCAAAATCACTCCATTCTGATTCAGTTTAAGAATAATCCCTGCATAGCTGTGCTTATTGAAGCATCTTTGCATTAGCTATTTTCAGATACTTGTAGAGTTTACACATTCAGGAGTGGTTAACAGAAAATACAAAAATCATTCTATGTGGAAAAAAAGAATATCTGCATGAAAATACTGTCTCTGATTTTTGGGGGCACCGATGATTCTGATGTTTCTTTACTTCAAAGATTAATCTTTCTTTCATTCAAAGCAGTTATTTCCATCAAACCATCTGACATCACAAACAGGAACAGGTAGATGGTTTATGAACTTTCCTCATCTCTTTTGCTGCTTATATAAAATCTTTCTCTCCTATTATTATTACTCTATAGCCCATGGTAACTGACCTGGAGAAAACTACAGTTATGCACACAGGTACAAAAAGAGACAGCTCTGTACATAAGGACCAACCTATTCCAAGAAACAGAGGTAAAACAGGAAAAGGAAAAGAAAATACAGAAAATATTGTCGGAATATCCAAACCCTTTTCCAAATAGATTATTTTAAAGTTTTACATGAGGCATCAAGAGCTCTTTAATGACAAATTTGACGTAAAGGGGATGCCCTATTTAAATAAGGTCCATAGTGGTACACAGTCCCCATCAGATCTTTTCTCTTAACAGAGCTGATGGCACTGATCTTTGTAACAGAATTTGTTTAACAGCACAGACAGGTCTTTCTGCTGTTATCTTGCACTGAACTGGCAGTTTCCTGCTTCACTATTTTGCTTCAAACTACTCTCCATAGGCTATAAAGTAATAACGGTAGGAATAAAGTAATAATGATAGGAAAAAATAAAAACCAGAGTGATATACCTCCATGGTCATTTGAACATTTTAGGAAAGATATAGATGAGATAGGATTAAGTTGAAATGCTAACAAATGCTATTATCTTTCTTTGAACCACTATGGAATATGCACTTGCAAAACACAAAATAGCACTTTAAGGGCATCCTAGGAGTCTTATTACTTATTCTAATCTCCAATTATGCAGCACGGTTTCAGTCTATCGATAAACAGTTTGCCAAGAACCACTCAACTGATTTGGGCAGCTTGGTTTTGTTTCAGGCTGTATCAGATTGCTTTGCAAGGCTTTGGGTGAAGGAGAGCGATAATATTTGCACACTATTTCAGTTGAGAGAGATATATAGATCCAAAAGGGCTTCCAGTGCCTTCACTTACCATTTGTACAGCCCCTTCTGCACTGCTATTAAATAAATATATAAGTGAAATCCCTACAAGTCTTTGTTGCTGTCAGCTTCAACAGCTATATTTACATGACCAAACAACACATGCTGGGTTTGGCAGTTATCAGATTATTACAAGTGGTCTATGGATCAGATCATACCAGTGGCAAGCATATTTCCAACCTGCCTTACGATGAAGAAATACCACAAGGATATGACCAAGATCAAGCATTTCATGATGCAACTTCCTGGGCATTTATCTGGTCGTATCTGTCCCCATGAATGAGCAAAAGGCAAAACCACACACCCACAGAGCTAAAAGGAGTTGCGTTACGAGATGCTAGTTGAACACCTAGGCTTGCCCTCCAGAGGTGTCTACCAGATACAGAGGTAGAACACCTCTGCAGGGGCTATCAATCAAATATTACCAACTTATACAGTCACTACAGACTTTGTCTGCATATGAGAAGACAGATGGAGATTTCAGAGACCTGTACCTTGTGAAGGATTCTTAAAACCAGAACTATTAAGCACAAAATTATGCAAAGAGCAAACCCTGCCATATCAGATCTCATGGTGCAGTTTGGTGTGCTTGGTACATGTTTTTACTTTTGGACTGGGAGATGAGGCTTGACTGCTGGCAGGGAAGAAGTCACATTTATAGTGGGAGAAAGCTCAGGGGTCTCCAGCCCCTGCACCTCTGTCCGGAGCTTCCTGCGGGCAGGTTTGGAGGGCGGATGAGCAAGAACAACCTCCTGCAAGGGAGAAGCACAGCAATGTTAAGGTCAGGCCATACATGTCCCATCATTAGGTTGGGGAAATACCTGTGACACAGAAATTGCTGACAGCTGCCCTACTATTTCAGAATGTAAAGAGTTACAGAGCTTAATTCAAATTCGGCAATAGCCTCTCAGGTTTCTGACTTTTCAAAAAGGAACAACTACTCCTGCAACCCTTTAATGAGTGAAATGATTATACTGGTGGTTTGTCTTCATCTGGATTATGGACTCTTCAGAACTGGACTGTATAGCTCTGTGTGCGGGGCTGGGGAAGGGTGGCAGGAGGGAGGGGTATAAATATATATACTAGCCCTCAAGTTGATCCGAAATCATTAAAATCAAAACAAGATTTATTTCTAATTATGCTCAGTTGGTAAGGATCAATGAGCAATCACTTGCATCCCAACTTACTACCTCACCCATCTGGCATGGAGTCTCTCCATTCTCCTTTTCTCTCTTACATGAAGTAGCACTGCAAATAGCTTAGACAAATGTATAAAACTACCCATGCAAAATTAACATGTTGGAAGTGTAGAAGACCAGTTACTTCTCCTGATAAGTTACATCAAAGAAATAGTCTGGTTTGTAGGTAAAACAATGAGTCTTGGATTTTTATGACTTCAATAGACAGAAGTGCTTTCATTATCTTAAGACATCCTTCCTTTTGTGATGAGAAGTAGTTTTAATGACTTACAGCTGTTTTAAATCTGAAATATAAATATATCCTTTTCAGTGTATTTTATTATCAGATCTCTTTTACAAGGGATATAACTTATTGCCCCATTTCATAAATGAGAAAGCTAACACTCAAAAAGATGAAGTGACTTGACAAAGGTTATACATTTAGTGTCACAGTCAAGACCAGAGACCAAATTTTGTTATCACTTGCACAGTGCACATTTTACTGGGCCAAACTATCTTCCTTACAATGTTTTGGTTAAATGTTAATAAAATAAGAAAAAAATTAAATGAGGAAGCATTTAATGACACAGCAATCATAAGAAAAAAACCCAACACTATAGTACACAGCCTGACTCAGCAGAAGAGACTACCATGAGTGATAGAGAATGAAACCAACATAAGACCAATAATTAGTATTAGAGGGAATTATAATTATAAGAGGAATTAGAATTATAAGGAAACAAGAGGTTTCAACATTAAAAACCAGTTCTACCATTGCTGAAAAAAAAAAATTATCTAAAACTATTGTGAGATCTTTTGATGAGGAAGTCAGCCCATCAGCACTGCACAGATCTCAAATAATACTGTCACTGGAAATGCTACATATAATGCACAGCTCCCTGAAAACACACAACGTAGAGCAAGTGACAAACTTGCATATGCCTTCTACAACTACAAACTGTTGGGATGCCAAATGCGCAATCCCAGTCTACCTTAAATTGCCAAAACACAACCAAATCCATAGGATAAATCCCTCTTCCATTTCAAATGCAATACTGGAAAAAATGATCCAATATCTAAAACCAGAGCCCTCCACAGGGGCTCTTTGGCTGGCTGCTGCTGCACCAGGCTTTGGAGGTGGGTCAGCACTGTGCCAGCAACCTGCCTCCCACACCCCTCAACCTGGGGCTTCTCTGTATTTTAGCGATCTGGGTGGGATGAGGGCAAGCATGAAGCAGGTGGACCACAAGGATTCAATTCCCCCAGTAGGGTTGCAAAGCAGAGCAAGGATGCAGCAGGGCTAGAACTAGCATGCGGTGAGCACAAACAGAGCAAGGACACTGCCCAGAAAGCCCTATAACATATAGGAAACAACACTGGACATTTGTCTGTGCTCCCTGTTATGGTAAGAAGTGTGATGGTGCTCCCTGGACAAGGTATGTACTACATACAGCACCTGCCAACAGTTCTTGGTTGGGTTGAGCAAAGGTCTTGCAGGTGCTCCCTGGCTGCAAAAGGGTCTGGAGAGGGTAGAATCTGAATTTGCCCCCTATCAAAACCTGTTCTGGCTTGGGCTGGTGGAAGGAGGTGGTGGGAGAATGACCAGGAGTGGGAAAATGCTCACAGCAACTGCTACAGCCAGGGCATCCCTAAGGAAGACCCTTTGAAGAGTGCCATTGCAATTTTGGTGCTTACTTTATACAAATGATATGTTCATACAAAAACATATTAGAAACTGCACATCTTGAGAAAATATCTCCCAGTCTATATATATTTAGTGGCTGATCCTGACCTCTAGCAAACAGGTATGTTTACATCAAAACCGAATCCTCAATAACTGGAAGCAAGAAGTGCACCACAATTTGGAAGAAATACAGCAAGACAGGGGTCGAGTAAAATCAAAGTCTTTTTTTGTCTTCCCTAAGGCTCCACAAGACTCTACTGATTTGAAACAAATGGCAAGCTGCCTCTCTTAAAGCACGTGCATCAATGTGTATGTACTAAGAGTTTCCTAATGATTTATCTGAGCTGATGTCACATGCAATCCTAGTTCTCTCTAGTGTCTTGACCTCCAAAGAAGGTAAACATGTAAAAATGTAACCCTAACCCTCCACTTAATTGCTTTAAAAATGTAAACCAACCACATTTGTTGAAGGCAAATCACTCTCCACAATGGTACAATGTGTGCAGGTCTCACCTTTTTTGCTGAACTGTTTTCTTCTGCCTGCGACGGGGGTCTATTCATCTGAGGATGTAATTCAACCTCAGATGGTTGCTCTGTCTGCAACAACAAATCAGTCATTGCTACACCCAGAAAACGACTAGCAGTCTCATACAATAAAGTCAATGAAAGGAAACATTATGCATAAAAGAAAAGTTACTTTAACAATTCAGCAGTTGGAGAAATGGAGATCTAGGGTAACAGCTGAATAGATGACATATGTCTTTTACAGATTTTTAATGAAACCTTTTTCTTGCATTTTGTTGTGCTTAGAAAAACAAGAGAAAAGTTTTTTGGCAAAACATTAGGAACTATGTCTCTGAATGTAAATGACCTAGTAGCCAGAATTTCTTCTAGAGTTACCTTTATGGCCTAAATTCTCAGAGAAAGACTAGGGGGTGGATAAAAGATAGAAAGATCTTGGATGCACTCTGTCACCTTAATATCTCCCGAAACCTATGAAAATTCCTTGGAGTAAGCCTGTGTCTTTGAATTTTGCAAGGCTGGAGTAAGAAAGCCTGAATTATACCAAAAATTCCAGTAAAGTTACTGAAAACACAAGTCACAGAAGCAGCCAAATAAATCTTCCCTCCTTCCTTCTCACGTTTCAAACAGAAACCAAGCTGAACATTCAACTCACGGGTCTACGCTTCTGCAAAACAGAACACTGTTCCCCCAGCATATCTGACCAAACAGCAAATTAAAACAGAGGGTTAATGCCTTGCTTTGCCTCTCCTGAAACCTTCCCACATCTTTTGATTTGCTTCACCAGGACACGGAATGGCACATCAGCCAGGGGAAGGTACCAGGATCTGGAGCTGCCTGTCCCTGGGGACGTGTGGCAGCAAACACAGAATAAACATGGTGCAGCTGTTTTCTGTCCAGAAGGTATGGGCTGGCTCTCCAAGACAGGGCAGACAAGCAGGCAGGAGCGGGAGGCTGAGGGCACTTGGCACTGAGGCAGGTGGCCTCTTCCCTTTCCCAAGTTCTGCCAAGTTGGAGCCACGCTGACAACAGCCCCCAGGCAGGAGAGGCAACCCGCCATCCTGCTCCCTCCCCAGAAAAGGCTCATTGCTACACACGTGAAAGCTTGTGTTTAAAACCAAGTTTAAGGCAAACCTCAACCTCCTAAGGGGACAGGATTTTAGTAGTAACAGTAACAACAATAACCTGTCACACACTGAAGAGCCTAATTCACTGGTGCAAAGACATTTCTACATAGGCCCAACAAGCTCTGTGGCAGCTGCAAGTTTCCCAGTGCTTAACCGTAAGTTAAACAAAAATGACAGAAACCACAGAATTTGATACCTTTAAAAAGTACGGGCTTTTTCATACCACTTCCATTTTGACCAAAACAGACAAAATAAGAGCTGTACAGAAAGGAGAAACGTGGCTCTGCCAGGTTACGGCTGTTCTTCAACTGTACAGTGTTAAACATGTGCAGAGGAGGGATATTTCGGATCTTTTTTAAAACACATATGAAATTCCTCCAGAGAGGAGGAAAAGGCATTTTCACAGAATCATTCAGGCTGGAAAAGACCCTTGGGATCATCGAGTCCAACCATCAGCCCTACTCTACAAGTTCTCTCCTACACCATATTCCCCAACATCTCATCTAAACGACCCTTAAACACATCCAGGGATGGTGACTCCACCACCTCCCTGGGCAGCCTATTCCACTGGCTGACCACTCTTTATGTGATTTTTTTTTTCCTAATGTCCAGTCTGAACCTCCCCTCTTGCAGCTTAAAGCCATTCCCTCTTGTTCTGTCACAAATTACCTATGAGAAGAGACCAGCACCAACCTCTCTACACTATTTCTAATCCAAGCCAGGATGCCATTGGCTTTCTTGGCCACCTGGGCACACTGCTAGCTCACGTTCACCTGCTTGTCAATTAGAACCCCCAGATCCTTCTCATCCAGACAGATCTCCAGCCACACCTCCCCAAGCTGACAAGATTTCTCTCCCCTTCTCTTCCAAGTGTGCCACATCTGTAGTGTTATCTGATGGTTACAAAAACCCCAAACCAACTCACCCTGTAGTTTTCCAATATTTGAATATTAGCATCTGAAATATTTGGATTTTAGTAACTATTAGAATTTGACAATTTGAATTGGGAAAGCTTTTCACGAGTTGAAGTGCTGTAACTGTAGATTTCTGGTACAACTAGGAGAGAGTGAAGTGGAAAAAAACAATTATTTTTTTTTCTGTCTACAAAAATCAGCCCTTTAAAAGTCCATTTAATGCAACAGACCATTTCTTTATCAACAAGCTGAATAGCCCATAACCTCCCTGATTTCTACAACCACTTTTTATGTATTTGAAAAAAAATGAAGGCTCTAAGCACTGATGACAGTAGCCTGGCAAAGTCCGTGAGGCTTTCATGAATGATTTGAGGATAGCGAAGCTCAAATACCCAACAGATCCAGACAATAAATTTGGGCTCAAGCCACATCACTTTGTCAAAATCATTCATTTAGGGACATCAAGAGTAAATGCAGTCTTTCAGAGAACCACGTAATACACACACTATAAACTCCTCATGGTATAGCTTTGCTGCACAACACAGAACAATAACAGAGGTATACAAGAGCCAGCTCTTAATGGACTTTCTTGGACAGGGAGCACTAGATATCCCCCTAACCTGGCCAGGCAGGCAGTTTCTGGTGCTCACACTCACATTGGAGTCTACACTAACCCCTGCATCAAAAGCAAATATATACTAACTTATTCCACAGAATGAAAAAGAGACCAACTGCATGTTATTTAGCTATAGATAAAATGCAGTTTTTCAAGAACCAATGTGTTCAAACAGTGTAGAAGTAACTAAACAGACTGATACTGTACAATGTCAATTGCAAATAAGGAAGAAAATTGAAATCACAGTAAAATTGGGGGGGGGGGGG